TAAACATGAATAGGTTACTTGGCCCACAAGCAATGGGGGTAGTGTGTCCCTGTCTAAACATGAATAGGTTACTTGGCCCACAAGCAACCCAACCCACAAAGAAAAGAGATGGTGATGGGTATTGTCGTTGGGTCAACGTCCAAGCCCTAGAAGTTGCTACTTTCTCCCCAAGTCAAAGGCATCCGAGTTCAAGTCGTACAAGAAAGGTTTTAGACCTACTTAGTAGGAAAAAGCCTAGAAAACCCCCTAATGGAACTAATATAATTAGGGGCTTAAGCTAGAGGTTTGAACACACCAGTTGAGAGATACAACACACACCAGCACTTTGCTCTTGGGGCATGAGCTAGAGAGTCACGAGGAAGAAGGAGCCATGCGGAGTTCGATGAGGAGGTCTTCACCATCGATGTTATTATTATTAGTGATGTCTTCCTATTCTCCCATGTCTATCTATTATTGAGTTGTTTAGGAAGGTGAATTCTATATTATTCATGTATTTCTATGATACAAAGAAGAAAAGAACACCAATGCTTAGCTAGATCCATCTTCTCCTTCTTGATTTGGCCATCTTTCATGAATCTTTGAAGAATTTGGGGTTGAGTTGATGAACAAAATCTCACAAAATAACCTACAAATTTGCCACTCACTTTTCTCTCTAGGATGTCCTTTTTGTCCAAAAAAAACATCTCAAGTACTTATAGACCAGTGCTTAGGTGAAAGATCATGACCTTGAGTTCAAGGTCGTGATCGTGGGGTTAACCCCGAGAACTCACAAATTGGGAAACAACCAAAATTAGGGAGAAATTCATTGTTTGTCTCACAACCATGACATTACTTTTCACGGTCGTGACATAGCTTTTCACAACTGACACGACCCAATCCTTTTTGAAAATCAAACCATAAGTCAAACCGAAAACCGGTTACTCCGGAGCAAACCAAACCACTTTTAAAATAAACAAACTGACATTATTTAGAAATCTTCAACAAAAAGCCTCAACACTTGGGCAAAATCTCAATCTCAAACACTTAAAACAACTTCACACATAATCTTGAACCTTGAATCTCCAGTACATAAACTCATAATCATGAACAAAATAATTAATTCCTCTAACTTGACTCCTCACAAGCTCCTCGACTTCTCATCAGTGCTGGTACGGCTGCTCGCCTAGCCTTGCTCCTTCTCGGGATCCACCATCGCTAACCCATCCTCAACCTGGTGAGTGAGAAGGGGTCAGTCTCGTCGCTACTTCCTAAGGTCTTTCCCTAAGAAATCTCCTTACTAAAACACGTTATTAGCGTGTCATACCCTTAGATGAAAGTCGTTCTCACTTTCATCCTTCATACTTTGCTTCCTTAAAATCTTATTTCAACATCAACTCATAGAAGTTCTCAACTTCTGTCCTTAACTCAACACAAAACACTAGGACTACTGCGTTACGTCTCGCTGTCCGGTGTCCTACCCTAGTATGCCAACCGCGTTACGTCTCGCCGTCTGGTTGCACACCCAAACTCGGCAATGGCACTGCGTTACGTCTCGCCGTCCAGTCCATGCCCGGTCAACTACTGCGTTACGTCTCGCCGTCCTGTAGTGACCCCAATATACTCGATCAACTGCTGCGTTACGTCTCGCCGTCCAGAAGTGATCCGACCATCTACTGCGTCCAGTAGTGGCCCAACCACCCGGGGGTTCCTCTTACCAACCACCACACACATTCACATCCATAGCACAACGCGTGCCTCCACCTTAAATAGGCGGTGGGATGCCTCACACACATTATCGCGCATACTTGAAAAAAGTTAACTAAATATTACTTGAACAAAAAAGATAAACTAAAAAACCAAGGACAGAGATTTTACCCCTTTACACTCACCTTATCATCCATTATCATTGCCCTGACAGCTCGTTCCCCTTAATTCATCTTGATCACCGCAGCCTCGTGACCTATCCATCTCCACATACGTTGTGCCGAAACCCCATAGCCCATCAATTCTAATCCGAACCTGTCACCCACTATGAAAAATTGATCTTCAATTCACGTACCCTTATATATAATCAACTCTTTGTGCCTCTTAATCATGTCCTCCCACGTGGATTCATGCATGAACAAAAGCATAATGGAAAAGTGGTTCCACCGGAAGCGAGAGCGGATCCAGTGATTAGGGGGTGCTTAGTCACTTGACTAAGCCCCTCCCAGTCTTTAGATCTGGACACTTCAATCCAATGGTTAAAAAGTGGGAAGGGCTATTTAATTAATGACAGGGGTAGTTTGGGTATTATGGAAAATTACGAAGTATACAAACCGGATTTACAATCAGTACAAACCATACAAACATACGAACAGTACAAACTAGAGCGACAAAACATACAAACAGATTTACAAACATTACAAACGTATGAACTGTACAAACAATACAAACTCTACCGACAAACAATACAAACCATACAAAAAGAAAAAACAACCGGGTTGACTTTGGAGGCTCCATCCCTATATAGAGGGGCTCCTTCCCAAAGTCAACCCGAATGTTTTTTAGACATACAAACAGTACGAACATGGTGGACAAAAATGACAAACTAGACCGACAATCCATACGAACGGGAAAAAACACCCGGGTTGACTTTGGAGGCTCCATCCCTATATAGAGAGGCTCCATCCAAAAGTCAACCCGGGTGTTTTTTAGACATAAAAAAACATTACAAACATGGTGCACAAAAATAACAAAGTTTACAAACATTAAAAAAAACCGAGAAACATTACAAAATAACAAAGCATACAAACATTACAAAATATGTCAACAAACATCACAAAATCAGCACTGTCGCCGGGAAATTCTTCTCCGGCGACGATGTTCGCCGGAAAAAATCTCCGACCAGAAAATCAATCTCTCTCTCTGCGCAAAAACAAAAGGGAATGGCGAAACAAAAAAAAAGGGAATGGGGATGATAATCCCACCCCAGGACGCCGGAATGAAAACCGACGAAACCCAGCAGCCGCCGGCGGTTGGTAGTAAGACGGGAATTCAACCAGCGAAAAATCCCGCAAACAGTTTTTGTTTTTTTAATAATTAATAATTAAATAAATTTACAATTACTAGATTATCCTTCATTAAATGAGATCAATTACAACCCTTAGATTTTAATGAGGCTCAATGGTTGAGATTAACTTAGCCATGTGACTAAGGGACCCCCTTAGTCACCTGATCTTGGCCCACCGGAAGCAGGGGGAGCGGACACGGACAGGTACCTTGGACGCGGGACTAGATACTATAACAACACTCTTTTTGTTGTTATTGTAACAACACTAGTCTCCAACCAATAGGAAGCTAGGGTTGTGATAACTTTTTATTAGTTGAGTTGACCTAGTGTAAAATCAAAGCAGGGGTATAATTGTCATTATGAAAAAATAAAAAATAAAAAAATAATAAAAAATAAAAAATATATTATTTTATTTTCTGCCCAAAATTTTGGTCATCGGAATTCTGCCACCGGTCGCCGGAATCTGGTCGCCGGTCACCGGAATATGCTTTTTGTCGCCGGAATATGCTATTTTGTCATCGGAATATGCCACCGTCGCCGGAATATGCTCACCGTGGTCGGAATATGCTTACCGGCGTCGGAATCTAGTCATCGGGGCCGGAATATGCCTATCGGCGCCGGAATCCGGTCACTGACGGTCATCGGAGTTTGGTCAACGAACTTCGTTGACCGGTCAACAGTCTTCGTTGACCGGTCAACGGCCAACGACCACCGGATGTTATGGTCTGCATTGTGAGATTTATGGTTTGGTTTTTCATATTTTTGTATGCATTTTGTGGTTTGCTTTATCGTGTTTGTGGTTTGCATTAAGAAGTTTCTGGCTTGCTTTATCGTGTTTGTGGTTTGCATTAAGAAGTTTCTGGTTTGCTTTCAAAAACTTTGTGGATTGCATTGTGAGGTTTCTGGTTTGTTTTAATATATTTGTGGTTTGCATTGGGACGTTTATGGTTTGCTTTTTTGTGGTTTGATTTACTGTGTTTGTGTTTTGCATTATGAGGTTTCTGGTGTGCTTTCGCAAATGTTGTGGTTTGTATTGTGGGGTTTCTGGTTTGTTTTAGGGGATTTGTGGTCTGAATTAGAAGGTTTCTAGTTTGCATTAAGAAGATGGTGTGCTTTCGAAACTTTTGTGGTTTGCTTTGCAAGGTTTCTTGTGTGTTTTAATATATTTGTGGTTTGCTTTGCGGGGTTTCTGGTTTGTTTTAATAGATTTTTGGTCTGCATTAGGACGTTTCTGGTTTGTTTTTGTGGTTTGCTTTATCGTGTTTGTGATTTGCATTATGAGGTTTCTGGTGTGTTTTTGAAAATTCTGTGGTTTGCTTTGTGAGGTTTCTGGTTTGTTTTATGCAATTTGTTGTATGCATTGGGAGATTTCTAGTATGTTTTTGAAATAATTGTGGTTTGCTTTGTGAGGTTTCTGCTATGTTTTAGACTATTTGTGGTATCTATTGAGAGGTTTCTGGCATACTTTTTGTGGTTTGTTTTACCGTGTTTGTGATATGCATTATGGAGTTTATGGTATGTTTTGTGGGATTTCAGGTCTAAATAAGGAGATTTGTGATATGGATTAAGAAACTTTTGAGATTATAATTTTTTTTTGAATGCAACGTGCCAATGTTCCACAAATTAAGATCGCATCTTCAAACTAAATCACAATAAACTAGTGGCTGCTCAATTTGTAATTAATCTATCTACTGACAAATTAAGAAACAACAAATTAGTAATTGAGAAACAACAAATTGGAACAAACTGACAAATAGCTCTTCGCAGGAGCTGACTCGACCTAAGAAAGCTTTTGCAAGCATACTGGATCAATTAATCTATCCACTGTCCACTCAATTGGTAATTAGAAAAAACAAATTGAACGAGAAGTACATCATGGAAATCCTTTGGAATGAATTTCCCCTTCACGAACTCGTTCACAGTCGGTGCCGCCATGGCTGCGAACCATCGAAAACTCCGACTTACCAAAGGCACCGAATTGATGGCACCTACGAGAATGGATGACAGCCAAACAACAACTATTGCCCCGCCTCCATAGACAAGCACGGTGGACTTGTTCTCCACTGCATCCCACTACTCGGGGCACAAACATTTCCCGTTTAGTTTTCACCAATTGCTCTAATGCGGCAAGCACATACGCTACAAGTCTCGGAGCTCAAAAACAACAAAGCATTCAAAAACACGGGGGTAAAAGCAAATACAAACCATTCACCAGCTTGAAACTCACCTTCTCCTTGAGATCAGTGAAGATCTCACTAGTATCGACCGAGCTCTCATCTGAAGATGTGGCTCTGGTCTGGAGCAAGGAAACCCTCGAGGATTCTGCTTCGGATGAAGAAGAAACAATAAGCATGTACACATATTCATAGGTGAATGAAATGGCATAATAGTTAATACTACTTCAATTTAGCATATGCCTCCTTCTATATCAACTACCAACATCCAGGTTTTCTAATCGACATTCTAACAAACCCAATATAACTCATAACAGCTGCCTTATCCTGGAGATTCACAGCCATGGCGGCACCGACCTAATAGATTTGCCCATCTCTGACTGCTTTCTGCTTCCTCTGCGGTTGCGGCTGGATTTCCTTTTGGGAGAGCTTTTCTCTTTGCCTGGGCGGCAGCAAACTCCCTGGCGTCTTCATCTTGCTTTCCCAAAATTTCCACCGCCGACCGCCTAACCCCCTCTCCATCTCCCGATCTTACCGCAGAACCCTCTTCCTAGATTCAATCGCTACTGGTCACCATCTCCAGTTCTTCGTTGTCGTCAATCTCAGCGGGATACACCAACTCCGCCGCATCTTGCTGATTTTCCCCCTGATTGCAACCATACAATCTATTGCAGGACCGGCCGACGCTCGTCCCCAATCTGTTCCAATTGTGCCCGCCCCAACATTCAACTTCCCTGCTGATCTCTCCGCCACCGGAGTGGCAGAATCCGAGAAACAATCGGCCGCGGCTGTTGCTAAGAGCTCAGGTAGCCTTGGTGCGGCAGAAGAGAGGTCTGAGGAGAAGCATTCGGGAAAGATAGGGGAGGAGATCTGGGAATTGAGATATTTTAATTTTATTATATTTTAGGTCAGTTTACCCTTATACCCTTAATGAATCCTGTTGTTAGTATAACAACACTTATCCGGGCCCCTTGGACGCCGCTTTGTTCTTTTCGCTTCCACCATCAATTCCATTGCTCCATTTAATTACGATGGGAAGGGGATCAATCACCCGCACACTGCCGAGCTGCTTCCATTCCGATGGTTACTTCTTCCACTCTTGGAATTCAGCTACCAATCTCTCATTCGGTCCACTCGTTAATCCCTTATTTTCCAAGCCTTCCCCTCGCTCCAAACCATGGAACTTTGTACCAATTGCAAAGGCGGTCTCTCCCCTACAGTACGTAGCCCCCATACGAAGACACTAGTTTTCTTCTCACTCCTGGTCACGAGCGGCTGTGGAGAGTGAGCTGCTATGTTTTGTTTCTTTGTGCAAGGGAAAGGAAGTGTTCCAGATGGTGTAGCCTGACGGAGAGCGGCTGGGAATGAGATAGCATGCCTACCCATAAAAGGGTTGGCAAAATGACAATCCCTATTAATTATAGGTTTTTAAGATAATTAATTTGTGTTGCATTTAATAATCTGTATGAATTAAAAACACATATTAATTACTTTCCTTTTTTCAGTGCACTGGTAGTTGTATCAGTGCACTGGTAGTTGTGTACAGGTGCAATGGTAGATGTATCACTGCAATGGTAGTTCCAAAAAAGGAACGTAATTAATATGAGTTCAGTATACCAGTGCACTGATACAACTACCAGTGCACTGAAAAAGGAAAGTAATTAATATGTGTTTTTAATTCATACAGATTATTAAATGCAATACAAATTAATTACCTTAAAAACCTATAATTAATAGGGGTTGTCATTTTGCCAACCCATACAAGGGTTAGCATGCTAACCGATCCCCGGCTGGGGAATAAAACTTCAGGGTTTTATTAGTTTTAGGCTATATATATATGGTCTAGGTGAGGCCGAGTGATAGGTAGGGTTAGGGTTTAATTGTCCGGGGTTATTTTGGGAATTTCACAATTACAGGTGAGTTTAATCCGAAACTTAGTTAACGTCCGTAACTTACTCATGTTATGTCGAAATTCCACATCGTTTGGACCGAGAGTTCACATTTTTAGTCCTCATCGATTTTACGGTGGAATTTGACAAAATTTTCCAAGGGTATAATATTCATTTTGACTTTTGGGAAGAGAGGTGTGTAACAACAACCGTGACTTCCCTTTTCACACTCGTGATCCTAGTCATTAAAATTACTATTTTTATTTTTTGTTAGCTCCATATGACCTCAAAACTTGTCATTAATATTCATTAACATGGACCTGAAATTAGGTGAGAAAACACAACATGGCGTATAATAAAATAAGAATGAGTAAGTTGCAAGGCAAATAGCTAAAAACTGGTAGAAACTATACTATGTCCTATAATATTGACATTTGATCACACAAAGCACTATATAACCTTAAATAGCCAATGATTATGATCATTTACTCAGACACCTAAGAATTGGGTCTAAAATCTGCATAAATTGCATGCCATCAAATCCCCTAACACTTATGAGCTTGCTTGTTGATCTGTCATTGTAGATAGAACCAAGTTTACTTGTCCCTAAGAATAGGATCATATTAACCTAGGGTCTCTTCCAGAACCCTGACTTCATAAGTGAGGTACTGTTCTATTGAAGAAGAGATCATTTTAGGAGGTTGAGGTGCCTCCGGTTTGCGAAATGTAAGAGTTTGGAAATTAAAGTTGTGCATAAAAGTAGATACTTAGCTAATTGACGAGTGAGAGACCAGAGATTAAAGGTGTTGCATAGGCAAGATCCCCCTAGGTCTCCTAACCATGCACCATCGATGATCGGTAGCATACGAGCTGCCGATATCTTATCTCATTAGATCCCACCTTGTGTCGAAGCATTTACCCGAACTAATGGGAGACAAGGACCCTTCGGATTTCTCTCTTGAGGCATGACATCGTTTGATTGAATGAAGTTAGATCGAGTAGGAATGCTATTTCTGGTTCCATCCTAAACGACTAGGATGTTCGATCCTTGCACTTTTAAGGAGTTCATATCTATTATAAGCTCTCATTCAAATCGAGAAATAAGAAAATAGAGGAAATCTAGCATCACACATATGAACTAAGGAACTTAGCCAGCCATGGGGAGGGGTTCCTAGGTGTCCATCAATGGAAACGAAAACACTAGGAGGCCCACTGGAATCAACGTCCGGAAAAGAGAAAACAGGACCTTGGGAGCCGTTTTGGGCAACGATTATCCCTTGTAGGGTGGTCTCGTTCTAAGTCAAGTGTGTTACCTTGTCGGTAGAGTAATGACCCTTCCTTGACCTCTCGTCTCTTCCTCCCAAACTCTACCTTTAGAGCTCTATTTATAGATCTTTGATTAGACTTTCTGGAGAGGAAAAATCACAGCTCATGCGTCATTCATCCAATCAAAGCGCTCAAAACGTGTGGCCAGCGAATCAGGATGGTCCGAGATTACTTCTTGATGAGGTTGTGGAGTTCCCTAAACCCACGCCGTTGTTGCCTTTTTTCCTTCATCAAAATGGCGCTCCGGGGGCCATTTTACCCAGGCTTCTGATTTTTGAATCCTAGCTCCAGCGACTTGGTCTCGATGTTCCCTACAGCTCCAAGTGGTCCATTAGACTAGGGCTGGCTATTTGGTCCGGGTTTTTTGATTTTACCCGAAACCGGACCGTATAACCCGGACCAAGACCGGACCGGGACCGGATAGTAAACAATCCAATCCAATTTTTGGGCTTAGATTTGAGGTAAAAAACCGTTTGAGACCGGATCAAAAACTGGATAAAGACTGAATAAGAAAGTTCAACACCCAAAATTTAAGAGTAATTAGCATAAACGGTCACAAACATTTGCACTTAGTATAAAACTTAACCAACTCCTCACCCTTTCAGGCCTTAGGCCACTCAAATCCCCACAAGCTCAATATAAAATCAAGACCGAATTGGGACCGGACAGGATCAAGACCAGATTGTATCCAATCCAATCTTTGGTCCTTATTTTTTTGAAAAGACCGGACTGGACCGGATCAATTTGGGCCAATTTAACCGGACTGGACCGTATAGCCACCCCTACATTAGACTGCCTTGCCCTAGAACTACACAAAACCTACCAAAAGCATATCAATCGTATAAAAATAATCCTAGAGTTGCTATAACACATTTGAAGCAATCTTGGTATAAATTAAATGTATTATGACACTTGATGGAAAATGTATGCACTTTGGGTCACAATACAAGGATCTAGAATAGATATGTGAAGAAACCCATTATAATAAACAAAGAGGTTGCTTCATCCTAAAATTTTGAAATTTTTTGGACATTTTATACAAGGATGCAAACAATAATAACCATATCAAATCATTATCTCACAATCACCGCATAAAGCAAGTCATACATGAAATCCATTCACAACTAATAAACCATATAGACTTCTTGTCTTAATTGTAAGAAGAAAATCCACTACATGCCCGTGTACTGTACACACAGACTACTTTTATAGTACGACGTGACTGAGTTGTACTGTTCTATCCTGGCGCGTGGTTGTGTGTGGGTGGGAGCATGGTGAGGCCTTATTGGAATCAGATGGGAGTTTGGCGGCTTGGTTGCGTTGGGACTGGTGGTTGCCCTTTGGTTTGTCTGTTTTTGGTTGGTGGGTGTTCTCGATTGCGTTGGTCACCCAAGATCTTTCTGTACCCGGAGCCCAACGAGTGCGAGGATCGATGTGCTTTTAGTTGCTAGGGTCTTCCACTTGAGGAGACTGGAGGTGGCTCAATAAAATAGCGAGGCAACCAAGGTATTTTCTCGGATATAACGATTCTTCGCTCAGAAGTTTAGTGGGATGGAGTATTTTCCCGTTCTAAGAATGCCAAAGGTTGTGATTGGCTAGTATCTATTAAAGTCATAATGAAGTTACTGTTTCATAGGAGGTTTACTAACTTGAGCAACTGTCACTATTTTATAAATAACCCGCAGGCCCTCTTATCCACGTGTGGCTACTGCATCCAAAGTGGTTTGCCTTGGTCCCTATGTTTAACAGAATGGTCTTTTATTGCAATGGGGGTGTTCATTGTAAGTTGTTTATGTTTGACAGACGGGTTATAGAAAGAAAGAGATGGTTAATTTTGGAGAGGTCCCTATTCGGCTTAGCATGTGTTGTTGTCATTTTTGTCAAGTTTGGTTTTAATAACTCGATTTATTGGAAGTTTGCAATGACAAAGGTTGGA